CAACAATAAGTTAAAAAAATTTTTTTTTAAATTATAACAAACAAACAAAGGCTATTTGAGCAGGCATAGTGGCCCACACCTTTAACCTTAGCATTTGGGAGGCAGATCTCTGAGTTCAAGGCCCAGCCTGGTCTACATAGTGAGTTCCAGGATGGCCAAGGCTACACAGAGAAACCCTGTTTTGAAAAACAAAACAAAAACATTCTATGGTAGTAACTGGTGGATGAATACCACATGGCTCACCTGCATTTAGAAAAGATAAATAAGAAGAAACCTAGCAGCATGTATTAGCTGTGAGTCAGGTCTGTGCCAGGGATGACCATTCAGAGATGACTACAACGTGGCTTCTCAGGTGTGGTGGCACACACAGGCAATCCCAGCTATTTGGGATACGGAAGCAGGATTAAAGAAGGTTCAAGGCCAGCCAGGCAACTTGTTGAGATCCTGGTTCAAAATGCCAAAGGGGTGGGGATGCTATTTGGTAGAGTGCTTTTCTAGCATGTATAATGCCCAGGGTTTGGTCTCTAACTCCAAAATAAATGAATACATACAAATCAAGGATGGCTCATGTTCCTTAGGAGCCTGCTGTCCTGTCAGGGCCATGGGTGCAGGAGGATGAGGAGTGGGTGACCTCTAAAGATTGCAGTTCAGTGACAAGTGCCACCACAGACTGATGCTCAAAGTGCAGTGGGATCACTGAAAGTGGTGTGGACTTTGGGGGCCCTTGTAGAGTGAAGTGTCAGAAAGTTATTTTTACAAAGCCTCAGCTGATAGAAAAGAACCTTCTAGCCAGACAGTGGTGGTGCACACCTTTAATCCCAGCACTTGGGAGGCAGAGGCAGGGAGATTTCTGAGTTCAAGGCCAGCCTGGTCTACAGAGTGAGCTCCAGGACAGCCAGGCTTACACAGAGAAACCCTATCTCAAAAAATCAAAAAACAAACAAACAAACAAACAAACAAACAAAGAAACTTCTAGAAGGACAAAGCCTAGGGGAGGGTAATGGAAGAGAGGTGGAGCAGGGCAAACCATCCCTGCAAGGACCAAGAGAAGCTGAAGGGAACCAACAAAGGTCAGGCAAGTGGTCTGGCTTGGAGGCATCAAGGAAGAGCTAGGGTGTTAGGTGGAGCTTGTCCAGCAGCAGCAGGATCAGCGCTGCTTGGAAAAAGACATTTTGGAACAGTCAAGGTTGGGAGACATGTACAGAATGGAGGCTGCTTGGAACACATGAAACCTCCCGGGGCTCAACAATGCAGAGAGCTAAGCAAGGTTGGTTAGTACTGACTTGGTGATAACCACACTGCTAGATAAGCCTGTGACCTTTGATCTCTTGATACCAGCAGGCAGTGGGTTTTTCTCTGGAAACTGAGCCCTTGGCTGGAAGTCACTGGATGAAAGGTGACTCAGGTAGAAGGCCAGTGGTACACAAGCCACAGGCTTCCCGGGTTGCAATAGGGTAACCTACATGTGTGTGCATGCTAGAATGCCTGCTGGAGTGTATGTGTTTGCAGATAGCCTTCAGGAGCTGTCCACCTTGTCTTTCTTAACAGGACAGCTTGCAGGAACTGGTTGGGTCTCTACTTCCACTATTTGAACTGAACCAAGTTTTCAGATTTGGTGACAAAGGCCTTTAGCAGCTGGGCCATCTCTGGGGCTCCACCATGTTCCTTGAGACGGTTCTGTCAATGTAACTTGGGACTCACTGAGTAGTCTTCTTGGCTAGCTAATCAGCAACCCAGACTTTCTGCCTCTGCAACCCCATTGTTAGGTTGCAGATATGCCACCACGCCCAGCTTCTCACAAAGGCCCTAGAGCAGCAAGTCCTTCTGACTGAGCTACCTTCCTGCCCAGGGTCAGGCTACTGAGCTCCTTGGTTTTTATTCACTCAAGTCAGAGCCCTGCCTTGCAAGGGTGAGGACTCAGTCCAGTTATCAGAGTGAGGGGGGAATTATTGGTCCTGACAAGAGAGTAAGCTAGTGGTAGACTGAGCCCTGGAAATTGAGCTGAAAGGAAATGAGCTGCTGATGTCTCATCTTACTTCTCCTTGGACGGTAGAGTTCAGCAACTTAAGGAGGACCCATTGCCACCCACTGTACCTCAGCACCAGGAAGGTAATTCAGCTCAGGCCACTGCCTAGTGTCAGAGCCAGACCTCAGTACTCTGCTAAGTGTGGACCACCTTTACAAATCTCACCCTTTGTGTGTTTAATTTTGGTGTTGGCTAAACAAGTCATCTACCACTGAATCATGTCCCCCTGTACAGGAGAAGGGCTTAAAACAGCTTCTTTCTTGAGAGAGGCAATTCCTCCCCAATAGAATCTACGTTATCATCTGCTACCTATGGTGGCCTGGAAGGCAACTCTACTCCATAATCCAAATGCTTCACACATTAAGCATGGTAGGGACTTGGAGCCAATCGTATTCAGCGACCTCGATGCTCTCGTGTTCAGTGGGTTGAGTAGCTATTGAAAGAGAGAAAGAGAGAGAGAGAGAGAGAGAGGGGAAGGAAGGAGGAAGAGAGAAAAGAAAGGAAGAGAGGAAGAAAGAAAAGAAAGGAAGAGAGGAAGAAAGAGGAAGAAAAGAAAGGAAGAAAGGGAGGGAGGGAAGGAGGAAGAAAGGAAGAGAGAAAAAAGAAAAGGAAGGAAGGAAGGAAGGAAGGAAGGAAGAAAGAAAGAAAGGAAGGAAGGAAGGAAGGAAGGAAGGAAGGAAGAAAGAAAGAAAGAAAGAAAGAAAGAAAGAAAGAAAGAAAGAAAAGAGGAAAGCCAAGAGCCAGGCACGGTGGCTCCTATCTGTAAAGTCAGCATTTGGGAGCAAGTGGCTTTGAGAATTCAAGGCCAGTCTCAATCCTGAGAGACTGCCAGCCTGTTTACAGTCCCAACATCAATCATGACTGGAGTCCCCAGCGATTGAGGGTCTTTTTTGAGAACCCTAATAAGTGAAATTTTATCACAGCATTGCTGACCCCAAAGTAACAGGATGGGCAGTTCTGGAGGGAGCTTTCAGCTTCCATTCATCAAGGTTAGCTGCAGGATTTGGCAGGCTAGAACCCTCAGGGGAGTAACTACTATCTTATTAGGTTATAAATACATTTAATAGCTTTGGTACTGGCTTCTTATTCTGGAGTATTGAGAAAGAAAAAAAAAAAATAGAACCCGTAACCACTTGAGCCTGAGTGTAAAGTCACTATTTTTAAACTGTACGTTGACCCGCAGTATAGATTCTGAATGCTCGCCCACCCAGGACATCTCCACCTCTACTGCTATCTACATGTAAGGTTCAGCTGGCCCATCAACTGCTCCAAAGAAATTAAAAGTGAACCGAGATTTGAAACTCAAATTGTTTCGTTTTGACTCAACTAGTTCAAAGAAAACCCCAGAGGCTCCTTGAGCTCCCCCCCATCCCCACCTCAGTGGCTTCTCAGTAAAGGGTCAGCATGCCCACTTTCCCTCACCTTCAAACAGGCTTTTGTTTAAGTTTTGGAAAGCTGGCCGTGGAACCTCTCATGCTAAGTGCTTTACCATTGAGAGCACACACAGCACTTTAATATGAGAGAGGCCTTATTTCTTCGTGTATCTACCTGAGAAAGAGCATATTTAGTCATTCACCTCATGAAGACTTCCAGGACAGTGGGCTTGAGCTTACCTCGTTTCCAGCTGCTGAGTGACCCCTGGGTCCATAGGACTGTACAGGCCTTCCAGCTACCAGCCACCAGGACTGTCTCGAGGAATGCTTTGGTGGCTTGGTGGGAAGCGGTCCCTCGCTGACTAGGAAGGAAGCTAAATAAACCCGCACAGGTGCTGCAAGCTCCATCTGGGTGGATAACACCCTAAGCATCTACCCCCTTCTGTTCCCACTCCTGCTGCTCCATCTCCTCCTGTGCTCATGTGCCACTGTCTCTAAGAGGCTGCCACCCTGGGGTGGGGGTGATGTGTGCTGCATGGCTGCTTCTCAGGTGACCTCTGCTGCACTGCTGTCCACCAGGGTCTCATGGAAGGGGTGGCAAGGGGACCAGAGGAGTCACCATGATGTAGATGCTGTTTGCTCATGGCCAGAATGGATAGGCCTTTACCTCAAAAGGAGGCTAGACAGGGTCTTCTGGAGGACTTCCCCACCTAGAGACGGCTGAGTCTAGGCAATCTGGAGCTGGCTTTAAAATCAGCAACAGGGCGGCGGGGAGTGGGGGGTGGCTCACAACAAACAGTGGTAACAGAAGGTTTGTGTGGGAAGATGGGCTAAAACAAGCAGTGTCTGTGGTAATGAGCTGTTGTTAGGAAGTATGTGGGGCCTCTGAAGCAGGCTGCTGCCTTTCCAGGGCTGGGCTGTTTGGGGAGAAGGGATGCAGAGTTGACTGAGGCATATGGGGACATTACAGAGCAGAGGAGCCCACTAGTGTGTGTGGCAACCACACTGGCCTACTCTTGAGTCTTGGCACCACTCCACCGTGCCATCCAACTGCTGTCCTGTGAAATGAGGACTTGTGAGGTATCAGCAGAGGTCCTACTGAGAAACAGACGGCAGGGTGGTGAAGCACCAGAGGGCTGGCAAAAAGCAGGGAGACTAGTCCTGTCTGGAGCTGAAGGGACAAGGAGAGGGTGTGGTACCAAGCCTCAGTTGTCTGGAGCTGTGGCCTTAGAAGGGGCAGCTGTCCGCTGCCAACCTGCACCTAGAGGGAGCCAGGTATAAAGTCCCCCAGCTTCTCCATCACACTCTTCCCACCCAGCATCTCTGATGGCTCCTGACCACAAGCCAAAGGCCAAGTGGCCAGTCAACCTCTTCCCAGGGAGAGGATAGAACCAGGGAACACTCAGAATATCCTACAGTCTAAATTCGAAATTGCTGACAGTCTTGGCAGGTAGGTTTGGATGAGATAACCATCAGCACCCGTTCCTGAGATCAGGCACTTGAAGCTCCTGCAGTAGTCTTTATGTATCGAAAGGCGGTGACACAACTTTAATATCAGACTACAAAAGCCAGAACCAAGGCGTGAGTGAAAACAATACGACTTTGTACAAAATGGACAGGTAACATTTATTAAAACTTGTCATACAAAAGGACATGGTCTCTTCTATAAGAAGAAAATATTAAACAGTAACATTCAATTAAAACCACGCTGTACACTGAAGACAGCAATTCTAGGAAGAACTATTTAACTTCTAAAACACATATGGGTCACAAGTATCCATGATATGCACCTAACGACAGTCTGCCTATCATCCCATGGGTCTGTGGCCTAAGCGGTACCTGACTTGCATAAATAAAATAATTTTCAGAAGAAACATTGGGAACCTCATAAAAAGAAAAGGAGCAGCAGCAACTGACATGACACAGGCTTCAAGCAACATTTAAAAAGAAAAAAAAAATCACATTTGCAAATGGTGTTCCAGCATCTTCCCACAGGGCACTATCAGTAGGTTTGCAAACTAGTACCTTTAAATATGTAAATAGAGAGAGAGAAAAGAAAAACAAAACGCAAAGCAACCCAGGATTCACCGGTTAAAGTCAGTTTACCAGTCAAAGCAGTCTAGATCCCAGGAGGCCAAGGGCAGCCTGGCCCAAGGTCCTCAGCATTCCCAAAGTATCTGAGAATACAGGGAGCAACCACATCTGTGGGCGAGGCAAAGCTCCACCCCGACCTTGGGGCCCCAGTACACCTTTCCAAGAATGTTCCTCAACTTCTCAGGGTATGCCACCCACTGTAGCAAGCAGCTTTCCCAACAGCTAAAAGCCTGCCCAGGGTCAGAGGAGTTCAGGAAATGTGTCCTGAAATGGAGGGCAGCCTTTAGGGTAGGCTCGAAGAATGTGGGCGGAGGGGGTGAGAACAGAAATCCTAGGTCATGGGCCAGGGCACAGGAGGAGCTCCTGTGACATCTGTCTCCAGGACTGAAGGCATGGTGCCTGCAGATTATGAAATTCAACCAGCAGGGCCTTGAAGCCCTTTGTATGAGGACTGTAGAAACCCAGCCAAGGCTAAGAGTGGAGACATACGCGTGCTGGAGAGCCACTGATGGAATCTCTGAAACACTGGACAGTGCTGCCCACCACGAGTCAAGCAGTGGAGAGGGAGAGACAAGTACTGTAACAGGGCAGGCTCCCAGACAGGCTCTCTAATGGGAAAGGGAGGTCAGAAGCTTCATCTTAACCTTCTGGACCTCAGACACCCCACCTTCTCACAGGGTCTGCCACATTCCAACCAAACAAAAGCTTTGTCAGCATCACGACAAGGGTTACTGACTCAGTACAACCCAAGGACCAGGGTGTCCCTATAGTGTTTCTTTTACCCCCTGCCCTGCAAGGGTCTCAGCTCTTGTACGAACAGACTGCAAAGGGGAGACAGCTCATGGATCTGTTCAACAGGCAGAAGGCGTGAACATGAGGGTTACTTCTGACAAGAGAATGGCTTAACTGCCTCAGTGTAGAAATATTAAGAAGCCAAACCACTTTGCCCTCACCCAGCTCAGGGTCACCCCTAAACCCACTGGCCTCTCATGTGTAAAGAGTAGGAGGCACATGAGTGTGACTGTACGTCTCTATTCACTTCTCAGGGACGAGGAGGGCTGCTGACTGGCAGACACTGGGAGATCATCTGAATGTAGCAAACCACTAGGAGGTAATATCTAGTTTCTAGGTTAAAAAAAAAAAACCTACATCTATACTTATAATAATACAAAGTGCTTTTATATGCCAAGACTGATACAGTGTTTATAACTAGATCCCTGTTTTGTAATCTTGATCATAAACGTTTACTGTCGAGTCCATATTTTCTTTCTTTCCAGAAAAAGGTTAAAGGTACATCCTTCGTGTCAGAGCCTTAAGATCAGAGGCTTTTGCCAGAAATGTCTGTCATGTTAGAGAAAGCCAAACTTTAAGAATAAAACAGATGATACAGGAGCAACACCCTGCCCTACTGTCTAGCTAGCTCTGACACAGCCTAGAGTCAGTGGGAGTCTCAGTTCAGGGAGTGGCCTGTGGGCATGTCTGGCCAACTGTCTGGACTATCAATATTCAAGTTCCTGCCATGAGTTTCCTCAATGATGGTAGTGTGAGCTGACATAAACCTCCCTAAGCTGCTGTGCTCAGTGTATTACTCCAGTAAAGGAAAGCACACTAGACCCCCACCCAGCCACAGCCTCATCAGGCCTGCCATGTACTGAAAAGCTTTCTCCACACAAGCTTTCTTGCCAACCTAAAACATATGACCATGCAGAACAGACCTCAAGGGCAGCCTTGTCCTTTCAGAATGAGGTGGTGGTGATGGGGGTGGTGTGTGTGCATGTGTGTGCGCACGTTCGCACGCGAGTGTGCATAAACTACTGGGACTTGTAAAGACAGCTTTCTGTAAATGACGTTGCTTAGTGTAGGGCTCCTTTCCCCTTTGAAGCCACGCCCCAGCTCTCACAAAGAGCTGAGAATACTGTGAGCGCACCTCTCAAACAGCACTCCTCACACCAGTGTTTTTAAGATTCCTTTTCTCAAGTCTACTGTTTATAAGTTGCTGCCTCTCACGTATGGGAATGTCTTGCTCACAGGGAACTCTGAGCCATGCATTCTGGCTCAGTCTCATGAGCTGTGGTCCCTGGCTGCCTTTGTTGGGAAGCACCATGATCTAAGGCAGGGGAGCCACAGGTCACTGCTAGCCAGTACTGTCACGCATCATTGCAAACTGGTTGCCTCCTGCCAATAAATGAAGGAAGCTTAGGACAACACACCAACTAGAAACACTTATCTCTGGCACCCATAGATTTAACCAATTAGAATTAAACATAAAACTGTGCCTTATCCAGAGTCTGCAGCACGGTGAAAGTGTCTCCTGCTTTGGACTCAGAAGTTCCGTCTAACAACGCCATGGCTTTAGCTGGAACCTTTAGAACGGATGAAAGTAGACAAAAGAGCTCTGCTCACGGCTCAGCCCAGGAGTCCCTGCTGTAGCCGTGAGGGGAGCAGCATCCATCCAGTGATGCAGCTACCAAAGCAAAGCCCAGAAGCCCTGCAGCTACCAGGAGAGAACAAAATGCAACAAGACCTCGGGACAATGGTGACAGTCAGCCACTGCCACCTGGGCAGGACTAGTGGGTTAGATTCTACCACCCAGTCCTCCTGCCTTAACCACTGCTGGCTGGAAGGGCTGTCTTGCCAGCTGGGCACTGGGTGAACTTATCCCCATCATCCATTCTAGGCCAGGATGAGAACATATAGATTTGAGAAATTAAATCTTTTAATTGGCCTACTTAGAGCTGGTCTTTCAGAAATATCTTCCTTTTTTTTAAGCCTCTCTCATAATAGCAAGTGGCACGCATCATCTGTGCCCAGATTTGCATTAATTACCATAGTTTATTTTTGTGTATGCCACTCAAGGGCCAGACCCTATTTTTAGTTAGCCTCAGTTGTATTCTGCTCAGCCTTTGCAGCTTCATAGGACTTGGTACAAGAAGTCACATGCCTGTGGAAACTGTCCCTCCACATAAATCTCTTTGCACAGATATTACACTCATAGGGCTTTATGCCTGTATGAATTTTCATGTGGCCCACGAGATGGTGCTTCATTTTGAATTTCTTACCACAGACACTACAGCCATACGGGCGAAGACCGAGGTGCATGCTCATGTGTCGATCTCGCTGACTTTTGTGCGTGAAACTTTTTCCACACTGACAAGGATACAGCTTGTCGGTGGCTGAGAATCCTAAGTGAGATGCCTCTTCCTTTATCCCCATGGCCATTTCTATATTCTCACTGTAGCCTGCGGCAAGGCCAGCCTCCTGTTTGTGTCCAATGAGATTCCCACTCGACTTTTCTCCAGAGAACTCTTCCATGGAGGAGCCGTAGAAGTCCACCTGCTCATCATAGCTGCTGCCCTCTGCTTGCTCGTCAAACTCTACTTCCACTTTCTTCTCCACAATTTGGAACTCCTCCTCTGCTCCTGAAGGCTGGGTCCCATGATCCGTCTGCATGGTATTGACAGACTCGGTGACCTGGTGTTCATCGTAGGCTGCGTGCACATCCATGCCATCCCACGCCTGTTCCAGGCGCTCAGGCTTCACATGGATCCAGCGTCTATGAGCCATGATGCTGGGCTTGCTATACAGAGGCCGGGTGTAGTGGAACTCGGCACTGTCATTGGTCCCCTCCTCCCCATCCTGGCTGGCCATCTCAGTGCTCAGCCGGTCATGCTCCGTGGATGAGTTACTGGGCAAATACTCGTGCTCGGTGACCTGAGATGACAGCTCGTCTTTGGTACTCTCCTCTTCATTCTCGCCGTCCCTCAGTTCCTGGGCTTTGGGGAAGTCTGTGTGGCCCCCAGAGCCCAGCTCAAAGGTCTCCACCAGACCGTTGTAGTTACTGCTGCTGGGAGACTGGTGGTCACTGGCGTGCTGGAGCTTCTGACACAGGACGGTGGGGTTCCCCTCCAGAACCTCAGTGCACTTATCTACCACGTGCCACATCTGGAGGAAGCTGGCTGCCGTCAAGTAACTAACGATCTCTGCAGCGGGCATGACAAGGCGTCCTGTGTAGCTGAACAAGAGAATGTTCTCAAACACTCTTGGGTTCATCACATCAGGCAAAACAATTCTCCTACTGTTTTTCAGGAGTACTTGGTCACAAAAGTAGGGAGAACTGGCAGCAAGAACGGCTTTGTGTGCCTGGAAAATGTGGCCTTGGACAACAATGGAGACGTCACATAACTGTCCTTGCTGGCGCTGCTGGTTTAGTTTCTGCAGAATGGTGCTGGAAAAATCTGGAAACTCTACTTGAAAAGAGTTCGTTCCAGGCTCCATTTCATCACCAATCTTGTTTAGTGCTGCAAGAGAAAGGAAAGTCAGTACCAACCCCAGCCTTGAAGAAGCCCATCTACCGTCCTTGCCCAGCACTAAAAACACTAAGACAAGTCCCCAAGTTCCATCAAGTCCCCTTGCCTCTGAGCACTCACCCATGGGCGTCAGTCCCCTGAGATCAGCCTGTAGGAGCTAAGGGTTCCCAAAGTCAGAGCCACCCCCCCTCCCCCACACACAGGAACTTTCTATTTTGCCTTGTCTGTGAGAAGACAGAATTTTCAGTGAATATATCTCCAGGCACAAAAATTCTTTCAGCAAAACAAAATATTGCTAATTAAAACAAACACAAATCTTATCAAAATAACTCAACTATAATCCCTGGACTCCCCACATTTACCAAAGCTAGAGGAAGGAACAACAGTACTATGGGAGGGTGGTTGTAGCTTGGGGTAGATAGCATGTACGGCTCTCTAAGCTCCGCTTCCATGTACACTCCAAAAGAAAAGGAAAAAAAAAAAAGAACTGAATGAATTGTGGAAAGACAGAAATGCCCATGCAAAGGTTATTTGACAGGAATGAATCAGATCAGTCCCATAAGCACAGGACAAGTGCTTGGTTCCCCAGGGCCCAGGTAAAAGGATGGGTATGGCAGCTGATGGATGCAATCCCTAATGCTTCAGGGTGAAGATAGGAAGATCCCTTCACCCCAGCTCTTGGCCAGCCACTTTAGACAATTCAGTTAGCTCCAAGTTCAAAAAATAAAGCAGAGGACAAAAGAATGACCCATGACTCCCTTTTGTTCAAGCTTGTACGTGTGCGCATGTATAGACACAAAAAGGGACCACAGGACTCAAGTTCAAGAAGAACTGAGGGAGCTGGTGCTGCATCACAGTAGGAAAGTAACAGACTCAGTCTTTTAGCACTAGGAAATCCTACTTCTGTTGAGCGGTGCAGGTCATTCTTGGGGTCATGGAGATGAGGGCTTCTGACATGAGCAAAACGAGGTTTCTATCTGGTTGTTTCTATACTGCTGAAAGACTTACAGACCTACTAGGAAGTTGCTACTAGACTTAGAAAACAGTAAGGACAGCCCGTGCTGCTGCTGCTGCTGCTGCTGCTGCTGGAAACATCCAGTGGATACTGCATGAGACAGTTCCACACAGACTGGCTCCCTTGTCTCCAAGTCCTGCTGGTGCCCCTGACTCTGCAGTATATTAAAGTACACAGGAACACCTAGAGTAAAGGCTGGGGAGATGGCTCAGAGAGGGAAAGTACTCCTCTGTAAAGTATGAGGCTGGGCGTTCAGACCCCCAGCACCCATGTAAATGCTAGGTTGAGTGTGGTGGCCGCCTGGAATTCTAGTGGAGATGGATCTCTGGAGCAAGCTGGCTGGACTGGTGAAATGGGTGAGCTCCTGGAAAAGTGAGGGAATGTTCAACATGCAGTTGAGAGTGACCAAAGACGACACTTGAAATCAATTGTTGGCTTCCACACGTGAGTGCACACATGAGCATACACTCTTCCTACCCCCCTACCATCTATCACCAGGTATCACCTTGATCTACTACTATAAACCAATCATCAATAAATACCAAGCTTTCTAAGTAACATATAAAGAGCCAGACAACTCAAACAAAGCTCAAAAGCCATTCTTCTTTAAGTAACTTAATTTATATGATTATTTTTTAATGTGAGTGTGTGGAGGTAGGACCCTATATTCAGGCAGACCAGAGGTCAGCATTAATCGGTTTCTCTGGGGCTTCCACTTGTGATGTTAAAACAACCTCCAGACTGGCTAGCCATCCAGTTCCAAAAGATCCAGCCTGTCTGCCTCCCCAGTGCTGGAACTGCAAGCACACAACACCACTCTAGCTGTTTATGTAAGTGTGAGGGATTGAACGCGGGTCCTCATGTTTGCTGGGCAGTTCACCAACTGAGCCATCACTTACAGTAGTTCTTAAAAATCTTCCTTATAATCCTTGTATCATCCTTCAGGTTTTCAGAAGTCATACTTGAGAGATAAGAGATGACAAGTGAAGAAACTGAAGTGTTCTTAACAATCACTTGCTCTTAACAAGTCTGGCATCTCACTCTCTCTCATTTCCCTACCTCTCTCCCCCTGTAGTCCTGGCTAACCTGAAGCTCTGTAGACCAGACTGGCATCAAAAGCACAGAGCTCTGCCTGCCTCTGCCTCCTGGGTGCTAGGACTAAAGGAGTGCACCACCAGGCCTGGCTCTCCCCTTTTCCTCCTCTGCCACTGAGCTCCAGACCAGTCCCCTCCCTTAGCCTTCCAATTATTCTGCAAATGCAGGGCTTGCTGTTCCTTTTTTTTAAAAGGTATTTATTTATTTATTTATTTATTTATTTATTTATTATATGTAAGTACACTGTAGCTGTCTTCAGATACCCCATAAAAGGGCATCAGATCTCATTACGGATGGTTGTGAGTCACCATGTGGTTACTGGGATTTGAACTCATGACCTCCAGAAGAGCAGTCAGTGCTCTTAATCGCTGAGCCATCTCTCCAGCCTAGGGCTTGCTGTTCTTATGTTCAGTTATTTCAAGCTTTCCTAAAGTTAAAAGCTTGTTTTAACTAAGTAGAGATATAAAACCAGGTCAGTGTTAACTCCAAAGGCCACAGGGTTTTTCCTATCACCCTGCCTCCTCCAAGGAGACTAGAATGCTAGGCCAGTCATTAATGTTTAGATAAAACCATGCTTTTTTGGACAGAGCACTGCTTTATGGTTTTATTATCCCAAAACATTGCATAATAACAGAGCATAAAGCTGTTTCGGTGCCTAGTCTGTAAAAGGGAAGTGGACCATGAATGTACATGTGGACAGGTGTCTATGTGAACTATGAGAGCAGCATCTGGGTGGAGAGCCTCTAGGTATTTCTCCCCACGGTAGAACTCTGGTTTGGAAAGGGTAAGAACAATGCTCCAACAGAAGCGGGAGTGCAGTATCACAATAGCTGTTTTGTGATCACAGAATTGCTACTTGGAGGACAGACTCCCTTCAAGATCAGCTCTGGACCACGCTGAGAATATCCGGACTTTACGATAGGGAAGTACCACAACTGACCCTCCTTCAGGTTTAAAACACCCTATGAGGCCGGGCAGTGGTGGTGCACGCCTTTAATCCCAGCACTTGGGAGGCAGAGGCAGGAGGATTTCTGAGTTCGAGGCCAGCCTGGTCTACAGAGTGAGTTCCAGGACAGCCAGGGCTACACAGAGAAACCCTGTCTCGAAAAACAAAAACAAAAAAAAATAAAAAAATAAAAAAATAAAATAAAACACCCTATGAAAGAGGAGTGGAGGTTATTGGGGGTTTAGCTACTACCTCTGGATTAAAACAATATAAAACCCAGGCCATGGGTAGAGACAAGACGTTCTAAACATGATACACTACTGTCCCTTCCTTTAATAGTCAATCTGAGTGGGTTTGTCCGGAGATCACCACTGCAGGGAAGCGGATACCCTTTAAGATATGCTAAGGAGATGGGAAGAATAATTACCCTTTATTGAGACAATACACACACACAGCACAAAAGCTCCTCCCTCGCTGTAGCTACAGCTTGCAGACTTTCCAACAGTCTACTTTTCTACCTTTCTGTCTCTTACCTAAATCAAAGCATGCTTGTTCTGATCCTAAGCTTCTTTACCCATCCTCTTTTTCTTTCTTCTTCATCATCATCCTTCCAGCAGCTCCCGAGGCTCAGTCTACCTGTCTTGTTTCCACCCATTCTAGTAAAAGGTTCCTTGAGCTTCCTGGATTGCCTTAAAATTCTTTCATCAAGGAGACAGAGTCTGCTAAAGGAAACTGGAACCCCTGTTGGATGGCTGGAGTGTTGGTTCTACTTCGTTCGATGTCGTAGTTACTGCATCTGAGCTCACAGTTAATTCAAAGTTGGGCACAGAGGGGTACACCTGTAAGCTCAGCACAGAAGCCTAGGTAGGACTGTGAGGCCTACTTGGGTTCATAGTGAGACACCTAGAATAACTAACAGTTAACTGAAGATCACACCAAAAAAAAAAAAAAAAAAAAAAAAAAAGCCAGGCTGTGGTGGCACACGCCTTTAATCCCAGCACTTGGGAGGCAGAGGCAGGCGGATTTCTGAGTTTAAGGCTAGCCTGGTCTACAGAGTGAGTTCCAGGACAGCCAGGACTACACAGAGAAACTCTGTCTTGAAAAAAACAAAAAACAAAACAAAAAAACCCTGAAGATCACATATTTTACCAGAGAGGGCAGACATGAGTGTGAGATAGGGCATGCATGTTTAGCTGTGTCAAGGTGGTACCTGACCTTGTCACTGATGGATGGATGTGGCTTGGCTCCGTTATCTCTGAACTTGTAAACACACTCAAAAGTGGCTATAGTTTGTTTAAACTATAGCTGCTGTTTCCAAGATTCACTTATAAGCCAATAAAGCAGTTGCATGCAAAGTATGGGTGACGAAGACCATCAAGAAGAGTACTGCCATTCTTACAGGGTTATAACCTGGCAGAGGAGACAAACACTCCAACAGTCATTCAAGGCAAAGCCCGAAACACCTTCGGAAGAAGCCAGGGGGGCGGGGTTGCACATAGGTGCTGTCTCTATGAAGTCTGAGGCACCAGACATCAAGACAGGCTTGCATTTTTCTCACATAGCAGGCACTTACTAAAATCATCCAAGTAATATGAAACATGAGCGTAACTCCAAGATCCCCGAGCTGTGAGCCACAGGCTTTTAGATATCAGATACCCTTGACTAGCAACTCAAATTCCTGCCCCTGGCAATCCTGGCAGAGCAGCACGGATCTTCAGAGAAGTAGTAACATTTCATCCTGTTTGCTAGAGGCCATGTCCTAGTTAGGTTTTATTGTGTCTGCAACCTAGAGAGGCAATACCTGAATCAGATTGGCCTTCGGCTGTGGGGAAGTGCTTGGATTACTAATTGCTGTAGGTGGCAGCATCCCTAGGCAGAAAAGTCTTGGGCTGCTTAAGTAACTACAGAGCAGAAGCCAGTGGAGCCGGAGAGTGAGCCAATAAGCATAAGCAGTTTTCCATGGTTCCTACCCTGTGTTCCCTTCCTGGTCAGGGTGTGACCTGGTAGTGTAAGCTTTCTTCCCAAGTTACATTTAGACAGGGTTTTATCATGGCAACAGAATGAAATGATACTACAACACTGAACCTCAGTGTTAAACCTGAGAGCTGAGGCAGCACCAAGTACCTCAGATTAGGTGTGGTGAGGTTAATGTGTTGTTGGTCTAAGGCTGGAGGAAGTCTGAAGCTGGGGCTAACTGCAAGGCCTTATCAAACGTAGTCTAGGTTTGAGAAATAAAAATAGTACATCTGGAAAACAGTGATGGGATTTAATGAATTGGGGGTGGGGTGGGCAGTGAGCCATAGTGGTGCCATCAAAGAGAGAGAGAGACTACAGACAATCAGTATTTGCATATCATATTACTATGATAACCTCAACTGAGTGCAACAAAGCCAGGTAAAAAGAATAAAGATTCCAAAAGGCATTTCTCCATAGAGCAAGACCCTCATGAACAGCACTTGGCAACAGCAGAGTGCCTGCCTGCCATGTGCCAGATACCTGGTTCCAAGCCTAGCACACCTCCCCAGCCCCTAAACAATGAAAATTATAAGGGTCCCTTTCTCACCCACTAAAACGGCATGAAAATAAAGAGATATTAACAACTGTCAGTAGTGTCCTGTGGAGAACAGAACCCTACACGCACTGCTGGTAGGCATGGATAGTATAAAAGCTGAGGAAGGGGGTTGGAAGTTTCTCAGACAAACAAGGATACAGACCAGCAATTCTACTCTTAGGCATACTCAACAGAAGAGAACACGATGTCCACCCAAAGCTCATACGTCCGTTAACAGCATCATACAAAAAGCCCAAAGCAGAAACAATTAAAACAATAAAAGTGTGTGTTGAAGAACAACTACAAGAATACAGCACATCCCATCGAAAAGATTACCTGGCAGGAAGAAAGAATTTGGTAATCTGGAGGGCCGTGAACTCTGGGAAGAAGCCAGAGCAAAGAAAGCTGCTGGCCCAGCATGCAGCAAGCGCTGGGATTTTTTACAATCAGCATAATAAAGAACAAGAGAAAGAAGGAGGAAGAGGTTAGTGGGGGAGAGGAAGGACAGGGGAGGAGGAGGGCAGGAGAAAAGGAGAGTGTAGGAACAGGAGGGGGAGAGCTAACTCAAAAGTTCACATCTCTAACATCCCATTATAAGACAGTTCAAGACACAAAAGTGGATCAGTGGCTGTCAGAAGCTAGAGGTAGAGAAAGGCAGGGCGTGGTTAACAACTGAGTGTCTTGCCAGCCACAAAGGCCGAGGTACAGCTTCAGTCCTGGCAGTCCCAGCAGATGCAGGCAGATCTTCGTGATTTGAGGCTAGCCTGATCTATAAAGCAAATATAGGACAGAGAAACCTTGTCTCAACCCCACTCCAGCCTAAAAAAGAACTTGTACGGAGATCAGAAATTCTACAGTTCAGTTGTAGAGAAGGATGTGCGTAAATACATGAATATACTAAAAAAGGCCTTGGAATGCTCAGTAGGTTTAAGATAGCAGGGCTAAGCCCAGGGCTTCACGTTAGGCAAGCAGCTGTAGGCTTCATCTCCAGCCCATAAACTGTTTTTATTAAATTATTTTACACAATAATGCAAGGTAAACTGAGGTGCCAATGTTCAGTTGTTTCTTTTTGAAAACATTTGCTCAGTTTTGCTTTCACACTCCCGATCCTCCCACCTCAGCATCCTGAGTGCTGGGATTACAGGTGCATGCCACCACACCCAACTGCCAATGCCAACTGTGCAGATTTGTGACTGGGTACTGTACACTGTTTTACCATTTTGTAGGAAATACCTTGGCTGGGTAGCCATAGCTATCAACACACTGACAAGTAGGATTATGGTTAGGGAGCTGCTGACACTCTCTAGCACATGAATGAGGGAGGGTCCAGGACCATCGAGGGACTTCTGCTACTTCTCCCTCATGCCCCCACCCCTTACTCCCCAAATGAACTATAGGAGGTGAGAGGGAACTCCATAAGGCTGCTTCCTAGAAGTTATCGGCCATGCTGGAGTAGAGCTTACCCATGTCCTGTAAGCAGCCCCTCACCCACACTCTGTAAGCAAGCCAGATACACTCACTGGTTGGACAAGTTGGACTTTGGTGGAATCGTACTTTGCTCTGTCCTTGTTGCCCTATCTGGGATGAATAAACGTTGTTTGCATCTCCCTAGGAAAGGTTAATGCAACACTGGGTGACTAGGACAAATCTTACCATTTATGCATACATAAGTATGTACACAAACACGGTTGTCTCACAGTGTTTGTGGAAGCTGGTTCTAGGACTACCCCTCAAATATCAAAACTCTGCGGCTGCTCAAGTCCCCTGAAGAAAACAATGCATATTCACATGCCGCCTGCTCATGTCTTCAAGAATATTTTGAACCATCTCAAGATAATTCATACTTCCTGACAGGCTGTGTAAACAGTGTCAGACTGCACTGCTTAGGGGACAGCAAGAAAGTCTGTGCACGAGCAATAGTTACCTTCTTTTAAAAAAAGATTTATTATTGTATTATAGACTATGTGTCCATGTATCTATGGGTAGGTTTGTACATGTGAATGCAGGTGCCTTTGGAGGCCAGAAGCTGGTACTAGATCCTAGAAGTCCCAGGCAGCTACCCAACACGGGTGCTGGGGCCTGATCCTCTCTCTCTCTTCAAGAGAAGGATGCGCTCTGAGTCACTGAGCCACCTCTCTGGCCCTTCCTAAACCTTTTCAGTCTGTGAAGGGTGGACTCCACAGACAGAGAAGCAGCTTGTGTATAGAATATTTCACACAGACACTGTACCAGACTCTGCATACATAGCACTTGACAATCTCTACCTCATTTGGTCCTGCTTGCAACAACCCTTCATAGCTACTGTGGCAAGACCAAGAGGCCAACCCATTTGCCCAAGGTCATCTACTAGAAGTGGTGAGACTTAATACCAAAGCACATATCCAGGCCAGTCAGAGTCTGAGAGATGGGGTGCAGGCATTAAAGATGTGTACCACCAGCACCCAGCTGCTATTATAAGGCTTTTAAAAGCGGAAGATAGCAGCTGGTGAAAGGGCTCAGTGAGTAATGGGGCCTGATGCCAAGCCTGGGTTCAACCCCTAGACTCACATGGTGGATGGAGAACTGGCTTTCCCAAATTGTCTTCTGACTTCCACATGTGGTATGCACAGGCCCATGCACATACAAAGAAAATAAAAGTGTAATAAAAATTAAAATAAAATCAAAATAATGCAGAAGGCAAAGGGCCTTGTATTGGAGACTCCCTTGAAACAGACTGCCTCTATCACCTCTCCATGCTTATGAGCTGAGCAGTAGACACTATTTATTCTTCAGCTAAGAAAATTATGTATCAAATCTCAGACACCATTTCAATAGGGACTAAACACCCTAAAAGAGCAGAGACAGCGAGGAAACTGGGAGGCAGACCTACCAACTCCTGTACTGAAGCCCTACAGGGATGTCTTTAATCAGAGCATATGGTGATTTGCATACTCACTGTAGAAGGCACAAGTAAGCACAGGAAATGTTGCTTTAGGAAATTTAAAGCCTGCACAAATGTAGAAAATACCAACACCCTGCACCTCCCAAAATTCTTCTTGTTTGTCAAATGCCTCGCATCTACAAAACAGCGGGTAAGCCAGGACCCAAGAGCCTCAACCTCCTACTGGGTTCAGAGAGCAAGCGGAAGCTCACGTGACAAGACCTGCTCAGGCCACAGTAGCAGTCTGGGGTGGGAGATGGGGAGACCTCAGAAGTTTAACTCTAACTCTAATGAATAGTTTTCTAAGTTAAAAATAAAAAATCACTTGGCAGAAACTTCTCTCTGAAATGAAGGACCTTGTTAATGTAAAGTACTACAGCGAGAAGCCTTAAAATGTACAGTATTTTCTCTTCAGAGGAATCATCTGATCTAGCCCAAAAAAATCTTGGCAAGGGGTTAGAGAATGGCTACGAGCACTGGCTGCTCTTTCAGAGGACCCAGGTTCGATTCCCAGCACCTACATGTCAACTCTCAATCATTTCCAGTCCTAGGTGATCTGATGCCCATTTCTGGCCTCTGTGAACACCAGGCACATATATGCTGTACAGGCCCACATGGAGACAAAACATCCCCACATACAAACAAACACATTTTTAAATTAAAGAAAACACCTTGAAGAACTATATTGTTTTTGCTGATAGAAAATTATTACAACATACAGTCCTAAAAATACATTTTAAGTAAATGTGTAGCTTACCCAAGAGCAAAGCTGTGTTCCCAGGATAATGTTCCTTATGCCATGGCCATCAAAGAGTAGTCTGAATGGATACAGACAGAGAATGCATTTCTCAGTTTTGCTTTAAATTAAATCACACTCATTTCTGAAAGGAAAAATCACATTGAAAACTTAAGGTGCTGGGTTTGAGAATGCTCACTGGTTAAGAGTTCTTGCTGCTCTTTCAGAGGACCTGAGTTCAGTTCCCAGGACTCATGTCAAATGACTCACAACTGCCTATAACTCCAGCTTCAGGGGACTTCTAGCCTCTGGAGGTATCCGATACACATGGCATACATGCACATACTCACATATGCAAATGAAAATAAATCTTATTAAAAAGGGAACCTGTGTGTACATGTGCTTCCCTGATGAACAGCATGAGAGGCAGACAATGATTAAGGCTGCTGCTGGCCAGTCAAAGTAATCCCAGAATGCAAGGGCCAGCCTGAGCTACCCAGTAAGACTCTATCAAAGCAAAAATCTTAATTAGGAATTTTCATTCTAGAAGCTCTTGGCTTCTGTTTCTGTAGTATTTTTTAAAAAGTTTTATTACACTTTAACTTGTTTTCCTGTGTTGTGTCAGCCTTGGAGCTGGCACACAGCACACATGGAGGTAAGAAGACAACTTGTCCTCTCCTTCCACCTTGGGTGCTAGGGATCAAACCCAGGCTGTCAAGGCAGTGTGAGCAGGGCCAGGCCATTTTGTACTGTGTGACAATTCCTGAACTAAAGTGATGTGTTTCTATAGATTCTTGCCTTCCTGTCTGGTCAAACCCAAGAATGGCCGGTCAGGAAAGATGCTTACTGATTACTTACAAGTGACTACTCATCCGTTAACCCAGCATCAACCAACTGCAGAGCCAACGAGAAACTTGTCCATCTCCTTCCTTCCTCCTCACACCACTAAGGGACTGTCTGCCATGGTTCTCATGCTCTCCTCAGCCCCTGCCACGCTAGTGTCTACATTACCTGTGTAGTTCATCACTCTTTTAGAATATGTTACCCCAAAGAATAATCTGCCTCAGTGGCCCCCTTCATCTCTAAACCTTTCATGATGGTGTGGAGACCCTGGAGAAAGCTCCCTGAAATAGGTTGCTTCCCAGGACCCTCCACCCTGTTACTGTTTCCTCCCCATCCAACTCTGGCCTCCATTCCCCACTGGCTTTCCAGGCGGCCCACCCATTTGTTCCCCTTTCCCAAAAACCCCAATACTGGGTCAGAGTGTTCTGGTCAGGCCCCACTGTCTTTAAAGCAGCTGAGTCTAAGGACACTTATTTCCCTCAGTTTACTGTTAGTGACATGTGTTACACCCCTGGAAGGGATTTCTGCTAGGGAAGAAAACTGAGGCAGCATGTTGTCTAAGTCTGTAAGAATTTTGAGTCCCACTCTGAGGGGTCTGGTGAGCTAACTGGGTTAGCTAAGCAGCCCAGTAGGAACATTCATTTCCTTACAGTTTGGAATGTCAGCTGGAGCTGGCAGCCCATACAGAAAACCCAGCTCTTGGGAGGTGAAAGTAGGAGGATCGGAGTTCAGGGAGCTACCTTGGGCTACACCAGACAGGATGTATGTTGCAGTTTTAACAGCTGTGGCTACTGAGGTCATGACTAAAGCACTCCTGGCAAGATGAATGTTTCTGATGACACAAAGGGTGACTCCACTTGGAAGAACTATGGATGCAACTCTGAAGCAGACTGTATTCAAAAGAATGGGACTTGGAACATTTCAGAAAGCCGTTTCCTGGGCACTTTAACTGATGGATCTTTGTTTATGCTTTTCCGGTTCTAAGACCAATACAGTGTGCACAGATTTTATTCTTTAAACACTTTATTCAAAGTGTTTTTAATTAGGATAAATAAGTCCAAGTGCTGGGAATAAATTCCACTCCAGGCAGTGTTTCTTTTCTTGGTGAAACAGAAAACACTTGATGGCATCTAAGAGTCAACGAAATACAATAGTAAGTCAACTGTTAGTCATATTACAAAGTTTGAAGCCCGGCACCTTGGCAAACGTCTTTAATCCCAGCACTCAGGAGGTAGAGGCAGGAGCATCTCAGAGTTTGAGGCCAGCCTGTCTGTATAGAGAGATCTTGTCTCAAAAACAAAACAAAACGAAACGAAAACGAAACAAAACAAAACAAGGCCAGGCATGGTGGCACAGGTCTTTATTCCCAGCACTTGGGAGGCAGATCTCTGAGTTCAAGACCAGCCTGGTCTACAGAAAGAGTTCCAGGACAGCCAGGGCTACACAGAGAAACTCTGTCTCAAACCAAAAACCAAAACCAAACTAACCAATTGACCAACCAAACAAATAAACAACAACAACAACAACAACAACAACAACAAAAAGCTTGAAAAATGACCTTGGGGCTGGTGAGATGGCTCAGTGGTTAAGAGCACTGACTGCACTTCCAGAGGTCATGAGTTCAAATCCCAGCAACCAACATGGTGGCTCACAACCATCTGTAATGATATCTGATACCCTCTTGTGGGGTGTCTGAAGACAGCTGCAGTGTACTTACATATAATAAATAAATAAAAGTTAAATTACTTTCAGAAGTTAAAAAAAAAAAAGAAAAATGACCTTAAAGGCAAGTAAGGTTATAAAACAGAAAAAACGAACAAAAACCCCAAAACCCAAAAAGGCCTTGCCTATGAAAAAAGAACAGACCATTTCTACTCTAATAAAGGAGTATTTTTCCAGCTGTACAAGCTCTTCGCATGTCAAAGCAAATGTGTTTCAAGTTGCCCCTCAGTAGATCTCTGCATTGACTCCAAAGGGGCCAGGAGGGAGGGAGGTGGAAAACTGCTGCCGCAAGAATTCAAATAACTCAGGGTCCCAATCCGCTCTCTAACGGCAGCCGAACCTGCCTCAGCTGCCGTGAAGGCCTGGCTTCATCACTACAAGGGATTCAACTAAACGTTCCAAACCACAGTTAGCCATGTTGACACTACATCATTCACACTGTTGTGCACAAACCATTTCTAGAATCTTCTTAACATCTCTTAAAACTCTGTTTCCACTGAACAGCAGCCTACTCGACTCTAGCACTTGATAAATTATGTTTCACGTCCTGTCTATTCCAGATACTCCACTCCAAAAGTTTCAGTGTTCGTCCCTACAGCGTCTCCTTCTCAGAGAGTACTTTGGAAACAAGCAGGGAATGAATTCCTATTAGGTTTCTAAGTTCTTCACTAAGCTGCTCCTAGAAACTCTGCTACTGTGCTAAGTTAAAGGTCTAAAGGCAGATGGAAGAAGTCTGGTCCTTCCTAAGCCTGTAGATGCTGGCCTGATTAAACAGGGTAGTTCCAAACAGCCCCGGAGGCCACCTGGGGTTCCTGGAAAGAGCAGAGAGTTGTGGAGACCAGTGCAAACCACTGGGAAGAGAAGTTCAAGATTCATTAAACTGCCTAGATCCCGAGATGTGCCTTCACTGTGAAGGCCAGTAGCTCCTGACACTTTGTTAGGTTTGGTGACACTTGTCAGAACTGAAACCAGACTGTAATCAGGCCACCGGTAATGTTGCCCGGGCAGGGGAGTTTCACAGGGTCATGAGTCACCTCCATGGCTCAGAGGTCCAGGCAAGGCCCGCCCTGCCTAAACAAACCCAGTTGGGAGGGAGAGAAACAAGAACACAACATTGGCAGATAGATAGATAGATAGAGATTGAAAAACAGACAAATGGCCAAGAAGTTGGTGTGACATTCGGGCTCAACCAGAGGGCATCCCGAGGGGGCAGAAGTAGGGTCAAAAAACACTGAAGCAATGAGGAGACAGAGGTAAAAACAAAGTCCAAAGGCTGTCAGCACCAGAGATGCAAAGTGTAAACTCCAGCTGACAAGAGGCCAGGTGAGGACAAAAACAGGTGACAACGGTCTGACAAAGAGGCGAAAATCAGAGCAGTGAGGTTCTCCTTCGCGGCGTCGGTTCGCGCGTGGGTGACTCGACCCCGAGGTCGCCCCGGGGGCGGATTCTCCAAGCGCTCCAGCCTGCCGTGCACCTGCTGCAGGGTGACCTTGGCCAGGAGGTCGCCCGAGAGGCCGCAGGACTCAAAGCCGGAGCGCCGGGGCTTCGGAGTCACTCGCGCCGTCCCGCATCACCGCCGTCGGAGGGAGTGCAGTGTCCCGTGTCGCGGACACTCGTGACCCCGACCGCGACCTCTCGCGCGAGCGCCCAGCCTCCCCACCCTGCCGTACCTCAAGACGGCTCCGTGCCCGTAGCTCCAGCCTACCGGAGCGTCCCCGTTGCCGTACGAAGGCCTTATTCTCAGCCGCCACCGCGGGGACAACTTCCGCCCGAGCCTCTCGCCCCTCGGATACGCTTTCTGATCCCGCCCCCGAAACTGCCAGTGCTTCCGGAGGCGTGTCGGCGACTCTGTGGTGTGCGCATGCTCCAGGAGTCCTTTCGGGGCGGGTCTTCAAGAGGGCAGGCTCAGGGGGCTGGCGCCTGCGCAATGGTCTCAAAAAACGATCTAATTTCCAGTTCATAGCTCTTTGGATTTAAGAGACAGGTCAGCGTGAAAAGGCGCTTGTCGCCAGGCCTTATGGCCTGGCTTCTATCTCTGGAAACCATGGTGGAAGACTGACTCTTGCAAGTTATACACTAACCTCAACAGGCGAAGTATGGTAAACGAACGCTTAACCCCTCACCACCACCCTCTCCCCCCCAAAAAAGTAATAAAATTTCAAGATGGCTTTGAACTCACTGTGTAGCTTAAGGTGGACTTAAATCCACTCGTATCTGCATCTGTTGAGTATCAGGATTGCAAGGATGTGTCTCCTTAGTTGGTGTAGGGTGGATACTCCGGCTGGACCACATACATGTTCTATGTCTTAGGTCAGACAGTTTCCCAGAGGTGCGCGCCTACTTCTTGGGCTCTGGAACTCAGACGTATTCAGAGAGGAGGCTGGGACTCTCCAAGAGAATTATTCAGAGAAATTCTGGGAGGCTGGAGAAATGACCCAGTGGTTAAGATCGCCTGTTTCTCTTCCAGAGGACCTGGGTTCAATTCCCAGCACCCAAATGGTGGCTCACAGCCTCCTTAACTCCAGTTCCAGGGCATCTGTCTCCCTCTTCCGGGCTCCACCGACGCCGGAAACAGTACCCAGACACGTTTGCAGGCAAAACACGCATACACATTAAAAAAATTAAAATAAAAATAAAAAAGTTCGGGAAAACAAAACGGGAAGAAAACAAATACCGAAGCACAGAACTGGGAACAGGTGCAGAATATCTTGCTAGGGGGAAAATGTGTGAATTAAAGGAATGGCTCAATTGGTAAATTCGTTGCAAAGCATCGCAAACTTGAGACTTGAATTCAGTCCCCAGAACCATATAAAAACAGCAGGTGTGATGGCAGGATTTTAATGCCAGTGCTGCGGAGGCAGGGATCGGTGAGTTTCAGAACAGGGAACCTGCCGAAAAGGAGTAGATGGCATTATTGATAATGACGCTAGGAGTTAGCCTTTGATCTACACAAGCACCCATACATCTGTATATCCACATCGGCATGAACAGAAATGCAAATACACATGTATATTAAAAATAAAAATTGGGGCTGGGGCTGGAGAGATGCCTCGGAGGTTAAGAGCATTGACTGCTCTTCCTGAGGTCCTGAGTTCATTTCCCAGAATGCACATGGTGGCTCACAACCATTCATACTGGAATATGATGTCCTCTTCTGGCATGCAGGCATACAAGTCAATAAAGTACTCGTATACATAAAATAAATAAATCTTAAAAAAAAAAACTAGGGCTAGAGAGATGGCTTGGAGGATAAGCTCGAATATGAAGCCGACTTGGGCTACGTAGATAGTTTTGAGTCAACCTGAACTGTGTAGTGAGATCTTGTCTCAAAGAAGCAAAACAAAATAAAACTCCAACAAATCTGATGGTAAAGCAGTTAAGAATTGGGGCAGCTGCTTGGCGTCATCTGGAAAGCTACACTCTGTCTCAGTCTTCTTGCTTTGCCTGCTTTAGTCCTTGTCATATGGTGCGCCTTTAATGATGCTTGAAGTTCCCAGCTTGAGGTGTGCTTGGAGCCGGTGGTGGATCATTTAAGGAGTATATCCAACTCGACACTCAAAAACACTTTCTCCAAATCCTCCCGCGGTGACCTCTATGTGTTCATTCTCTTTTGTCTACTTGTGGCAAGAAATTGATCACAGGCAATGCCTGATCCAGCACCGCCAGCTGATCATGAGACGACCAAGATGGTTTGGGACAAGTCTTAGTCATGTAGCTTCCCCAGGTTCAAAGAGCCACAGCTGCTCCCCAACAGGCTGTTTTTATTTGACCTCATAGTTCCTGGGGGAATTCTTGGCAGCACTGCTGGAGGTCTTGTGTCTTAATTGGTTTTAAAAAAAAAAAGAAAAGAAAGAAAGGAGGGAGGGGAGGCTGGAACACCTACCTTGAACCCGACTAAAAGACATTTTTTCTTTAACATTTATTTATTTTATTTATTTATTTTAAATAACATTTATTTTCTTTAACATCATTTATTGCATGTTTATGTGTGTGAGTGCCTGTGTCATGGTGTGGGGCTGGGGTCAGAGGACAACTTATGAAAGCTGGTTGTCTCCTTCTTCCATGAGGGTCTCCCAGATTGAACTCCAGTCATCAGGTTTGGTGGCTTTACTTGATGACTCATCTCACTGGCCCCAGAGTAGTTATTAAAAGATATTTTAAAGACAGACTTTAAGAGACAGAGAGGCACTTGAGAAGAAAGTTAGGGGCGGGCAGTGGTGGCGCACGCCTTTAATCCCAGCACTTGGGAGGCAGAGGCAGGCGGATTTCTGAGTTCGAGGCCAGCCTGGTCTACAGAGTGAGTTCCAGGACAGTCAGGGCTACACAGAGAAACCCTGTCTCGAAAAACCAAAAAAAA